TTCCATTCCATTCCATTCCATTCCATTCCATTCCATTCCATTCCATTCCCTTCCCAAGGAACCTTCCTGAAACCTACATGCTTCTTACCTATCTTGCTGAGCTGGGGGCGGGATGGAACTTTTGATCAAGAGGGGATCTAGGATGATTTCCAAATTAAGGAAGGGAAAAGAGATCCAGAAGTCTTCAACTCCCATCCTAGGCCTAGAACAGGAATCCAAATTTCAGAATCCCCACGGATGTCCAGCCCCTGAACACATCTTCTCTTGGCGATGTCTTAGACCACTCACAACTGTACTTCTTTCCTTTTTTGTTCTTCTAATTTCCTAATTTCTCTTTCTGTAACTGAGTGTTTTCCATCCTGAATTCCGAAAACAGCATAGTATCACATCCCCTTTCGTACACCCTTTCCCCCGTTCACCCACAAGTCTTCTCTTCTTGGGGTTAAATAGACTCACTTCCTTCAATAGCGTGTTCTGTTGCTTCGTTTCATTTTTGCAAACTGCTTTGTTATTTTCCACTCCAACAGAAAGCAGGAGTGGAGAAATCAACGTCACAATAATCTAGATCAGGGATCTTCAAACTTGACCGCTTTAAGACTTGTTGGAGTTTAACTCCCAGAATTCCTCCTCCTCCTCCAGTCACGTTAGCTCAGGAATTCTGGGAGTTGAAGTCCACAAGTCTTAAACTTGCCAAGTTTGGAGACCCTTGATCTAGATAAAATAGCACCTCACTCACCTTGGGGCAGCCATTTTTCTTGGAAAATCCATCCCTTCCTGGGTGCCGTTTGCCTGTTTGACCGAGGCTCCCGGCGGCTTAGTCTGAGCATCGATTTTATCCTTAAAGATGACACGGCCCAGATGTTTGGCGCCTTGTCGCTTAAGAAAGGCCAGATATTTGGCTCTTTGTGACAACCAGAAGGAAGGCCGGTTTTAGGTTTTGAACCAGGAAGCGTCTCCTGACGGGGAGGATGGGAAACCTTCACGGGCTCCCGCGTTTCGCACGCAGGTTCAAAGGCAGCAGGAAAGACGAAATCTTGGGGATCGCCAACAACCGCTTGATCCGGATCGACATGGCCGTCGGGGATGTGGTGAAGACGTGGCGGTACAGCAACATGCGTCAGTGGAACGTCAACTGGGACATCCGCCAGGTGAGCCCACGGCCGAAGGAGGGGAGGATTCGTACTCTTGAAAGTGGATTTGGACGCTGTTCGTTTGGCCCATCCCAGAAACAATGGCCGATATGCGGGGACTACGGTAGCCCTTGACTTAGTCACCATTTGACGTCGCAAGGGCACTGAACAAGGGGACTTAAGGCCATTTTTTCCCCCACTTAATGACCGTTGTGGCATCCGCGTGGTCATGTGATCAAAATTCCCAACATTGGGTAACTGGCTCGTATTTATGACGGTCGCGGTGTCCCTGGGGTCACATGATCTCCTTTTGCGACCTTCTGAGCAGCCGTGGGGAAGCCGGGTTCACTTAACAACCGTGTGACTCACTTAACATCTGCAGTTGATTCACTTAACGAATGCGGTAAGAAAGGTCATAAAACGGGGCAAAACTCACTGAACTGCTTCACTCAGCGGCAGAAATTTGGGGCCCAATTTGTGGTCGTAAGTCAAGGACTACCTGTACTCATTGTCAGCCCCATCGCAAGGGACTCGAGTCCCCCCCCACCCCCCGTATAGCTAATCCTTGACTTAAGACAGGCTACTTACAACCTGTTCAAAGTTACAACAGGTCTCCCCAAGAGCTACTTGCAACCCAATTTAAACGTTCCAACGCTCTGCAAACGCTCTGACAAATCTCTCCTTTCCACATGGGTGGCTTAAAAAGAAAACCAACCACCAGCATCTCAAGATGCCCACAGCAACTGTAGGAAAAAAGGAATGGAACAACTGGGGGCGGAGTCAAAAGAGACATCAGCTTAGCATCCCTACGTAGCCACAAGCAAACTAAGTCCAACCTCCCTTGAGTTCAGTTGAGCCTTAACTCCAAGCAGGGACCGATTGTTAAATGGAAAAGGTTCCTGCGCAGAGGCTCTCAGCAATAAAGCGATTCGGTCGCAACTCCAGGGGTGAACCTGGTCTTCTACCCCTGACACCAACTGTCTTTCTCTGGTGCTTTTCTTCAGGTGGCCATCGAATTCGATGAGCACATCAACGTGGCTTTCAGCTGCATCTCGGCCGGCTGCAAGACGGTCCACGAATACATCGGGGGTTATATCTTCCTGTCCACCCGGACAGCTGACCGGAGCCAGACGCTGAACGAAGAGCTGTTCCACAAGTTGACGGGGGGCCACGAAGCCCTCTGATGTCTCTCCGACCACGGCCTTCCCTTCTCCAAGGAGCAGCTGATCTCCAGAACGGGCTGTCTATGTTCTACAGGAGACGTGGAAGGTCCTTGTTGGAGTCCAGGCATCCATAAAGACTTGGAGAAGAATTATGAAAAGGATGGAGGGAGGAGAGAGTACAGTATGGTAACAGAGTGGGAAGGGACATTTGAGGTCTTCTAGTCCAACCCCCTGCCCAAGCAGGAGACCATAAGGACGAATTAAGTGTGGTTGTGTTGGTTTTTGTTTGTTTGTTTGTTTTAGTATTTCAGAGCAGGCTATCTGAGAGTTCACAACCAGGACTACACAGCAGAGTTAAGATAATTTTACTATTTTAAATGTCTTGCCAAGGACAATATTTACTCCTTCCTCCTCCGAGTAACTCAGGGATTTTACCCAATGCAAGTTGGGGAGACCGGTACTTCTTTTGTTATTTTTGTACGGTTTGCCAAAAAGGGAGTGTGTGTGTGTTTATGTGGATTGTGTTGAGTGCTTTTGTGTTAACCGTCTTCGAGAGGCTATAAAGAGGATTTTTTCACGAAAATGCTTCCTTCCCAACATGAATATTCTTCCTCAGAGTTTGCCTAGATTGGAAGGAGGCTGTTTCATGTCCTCCCCCCTTCCCCCCATTTACAGGTAGTCCTCGACTTACGACCACAATTGAGACCAAAATTTCCACCCTCAGTCGTTGCAGTTGGAAGCCAAGCCAGACCTGTTTTTTAGGGCTGTTTTTATGGTGGCCAATAAGCGAACTCCATCGTCAAAAGTGCGGACCGATTGTTCCATTTTTTTATTTTATTTTTTGCCGAAAACTGTTATTATAAAAGGGCCACGTATTGTGGCCACGGGATTGTAGGACACACATCAACTGTTTGCAAATGCAAGCCAGTGGCCAAAGCGCCTAATTGAGATCATGTGGGGGTTATGTGCATTGCGATGGTCGTAAATGCGAGGTTGTCATGATTCACTGAGCCACTGTAGCAAGGCAGGTCATAAAATGGGGGCAAAACTCACTTAACCGCCTCGCTTAGCAACAGGAATTTTAGGCTCCGTTGGGGTCCAAGGTCGAAGGCGACCTGAATGAGACTGGAGATATATTTCCCACGGGGAGGAGAAAAAGAGAAAGTCGACGTCCGTTCTAATTCAAATAGTGAGGTTCCTGGTTTAGTGACGTGTTCGAAGAGACACACGTATGCGATCCACAGGTGTCTCTGGGACGACATGAAGGAAGGGAAGAGATCCATTATCGGGAACGGTCACTCAAGAGGCAGGAGGACGCCTGGGAAGAGAAAAAGAGCAGGTGGCCCAGATAGGGGAGTTATTCCCTGCATAATACAAGTAGTCCTCCACTTACAACAGTTCATTTAGTAACCATTTGAAGTTACAACAGCACTGGAGGGGAGAAAAGCGACCGATGGCTGTTTTTTTCACACTTAATGACCATTGCTCCAGAGTCACCTGATCAAAATTCAGACGCTTGGCAAAACTGACCGGTACTTATGACCATTATACTGTCCCGGGGTTATAGGGTCCACTTTTGGGCCACCTTCTGACGAGCAGGGTCCACGGGGAAGCCAGATTCGCTGAACGACCGTTGTCACTAATTTCACAACTGCAGTTGAGTCCCTTGACGGATGAGGTCATACATTCGCTTCCCAAAGGTCTTACTTAAGCAACAGGCATTCTGGGCCCGGTTGCGGTCGTAAGTCGTAAGGACAAACGGTAATGGCGAGCTGGCCTGGAAAGTCCAGGTAAGACCAGCGGTTTCCAGGTGGCCTCTGTTAAACCCCTCTACGGCCCACACCCGTCATGGTGAACCTATGGCAGGCGTGCCACAGGTGGCACACAGAGCCCTTGGTGTGGGCAAGCAAGCCCCCCCAGCCAAACTTACCTGCACTGCGGATGTGTGTGCCTCTCTGCTGATTTCTGGCCCGTTTGAGGCTGTTTTCGCCTTCCTGGAGGCTCGTGGGAAGCCTCTGCAGCCTCGGGAGGCCGAAAAACGGGCCTTCTGGAAATAGTGGAAGTGCTGAAGAAACAGGCCCGTTTTTCGGCCTCCCAAGGCTGCAGAGGCTTCCCTCGAGCCTCCAGGAAGGCAAAAACAGCCTCAAACGGGGCGAAAATCAGCGGAGAGGCACACACATCCGCAGTGCAGGTAAGGGGGATAAAGCAGGGGTGTTATGTACACATGTGCAGGGGGCAGGGCGCATTGCATTAGGGGTGCCGGCACCCACACGCTTTCGTAACAAAAAGGTTTGCCATCACTGGCCTACACTCAAGACACACACACACACGACTTCAAACTGCTGGTTTTATCCACGAGCGTCTTGAACCTGCAGAGCCCCGAACGGGGCCTACGACCTAGAAGAAGCTTCAGACTTACGCCGAGGTCGGAGCTGCAGTGCTCTGCTGAAGTAGCGGGGAAGCAGCAGCCCGTCTGCGTCGCCTGGGCTCAGGATGACTCCGTTAGCCGCGCGGAAGAAAGAGATCCCGTCTGTGTGGGGAAAGCAGAATTTCTCTGAGTCAAAGAAACCCCCTCGTTTCTTCCCCTGCCTCTAAAAGACGGGCAGACAAGTTGAGGCCTCCCTCCCAGGATTTCAGACTGGTTCCCACCACCCGCCCGCCTGCACATTCCACCTTCAGCATCAGAAAAGAACGCAGGATGGTAACAGAGCTGGAAGGGACCTTGGAGGTTGTCTAGTCCAACCCCCTGCTCCAGCAGGAAACCCTACATCATTTCGGACAAATGGTTGTCAAATCTCTTCTTAAAAGCCTCCAGTGATGAAGCATCCATAACTTTTGGCGACAAGCAGTTCCACTGGCTTTCTCCTTAGTTCCAGGTTGCTTCTCTCCTTGGTTAGTTTCCATCCGTTGCTTCTTGTCCTGCCTTCAGGGGCTTTGGACCAGGAGCTGCCCACCTTTTGGACCTCAGGGACCAACAAACTCATCATTTTAAATCCTGCGAACCAGAGACCCTGGGAAAATCCCCCCCAAAAAAAGTTTGCAGGAAAATTCCCCCACCCCATTTTCCTACCGATCGATCGTTCTTTATTTGGGATCGCAGGATACCGTCTCCAGCTCCGTTCTCAGGGGGAGAGAGAGAGAGAGACTTTTGGCTTCATGCAAGGAAAGCAGCAGAAGTCTTTCTTTCTCTCCCCCAAACTCCGCCGGAAATGAGTCTTTGCCGGAGCAGCCTCTCGGAGCAGGAGGCCTCTTGCAAGGTCCGAAAGACTCACATCTGGCGGAGTTTGAGGGAGAGAAAGACAGACTTTTGCTGCTTTCCTTGCGTGCAGCCAAAAGCAGAAGCGGAAAGAAGCAGCTGGGTGGCCAAGCCAGGTGTGTGGGGTGAGTGGGGCAAGTTCCCCTCCCTTCGCCCTTTCCCCCCTCCCCTCACTACCTCGTGTTGTTCACTATGCAAGTGATGCAAGCCTTGTGTTCCCGCGGGCCATGTGGGCGGCGGAGCCTTGTGTTCCCACACAGCCTGGATTAGTTGCTTTGGGGGGGGGGGGGACATTTCTCTGCGGACCACCAACATTTTCTCGCAGACTGTTGATGTAATTCCCCGTTAGGAGAATGAGCGCATACAGGGAGACGTATTTGAGAGAAGTGTTTGAATAATACACATACAGCACACAGATACACTGTACGGTAAATGTAGGTTTTTACTTCCAGAAACGTTAAGCAAAGTCCAAAATAGGCAGCCCAAAATCATTCACAGGTAAATCAAGTCAGTTTTTCAATCCAGGGATAATCCAAATATCAAAAGTCCAGTGTCAAAAAACAGTTCAGTATCAGACTTACATTAAATCCAGTAATATCAGTCAATTAGAAGAAATGGGGCAATACTTTCCAACAGAAGGAAACAGAGATACACTTAAACTCTCTTCTGAGACTCAGACAAAACAAACCAGGTTTCTGGCTCCATCTTATGGCCGTTTGAGAAACCACACCTAATTACAGTTTTGCATTTTCTTAAAGTTACAGTTTTAAAATGTTTATCCTGGTTTATATATTTCTAACCCAAATAGCTGTTAGGTGACTCATATTCCTAACGCGGACCACCAGTGGTCCCCGGCCCACTGGTCGGCGACTACTGCTTTGGGGAATAGGCTGACCCCCCTCTTCTTGGGGGCAGCCCCTCCAATATTGGCAGGCTTCTATCACGTCACTAGACTTAGACAAACCCAGTTCCTGCAACCCCCATTCTGCTCAGAGAAGTAAGCAACGGAAAGGTGATTGAGAGGGCAGTCACAGAGTTGGAATGGCTCTTGGCATACAGCCCACCGCTCCGACAGGAGACCCTACCCCATTTCAGACAAATGGCTGTCCAATCTCTCCTTAAAAGCTTAAAAAGATGGAGCACCCGCTGTAGGCCAAGCTGTTAAATCAAAGGTTTACTCCTCTCTTCTGCTCTGCAAGGTTGGTCTTCACTCACCTGCCAGCGCCTTGGGAATATCAAGGATTATGGCCACTTCAGAACTGCTTCTCATCCCTGGGAAGAGAAGGACGAGGCAAGACTTGAATGCATGAAGGGTTTGTCCAAGTTAGGACTGTACACACCGGGTTGATTATTCAGTTATTTTGGTGGAGGTTCACACATCACACTATTCCCTATCAGACCTACGAGGTGAACCAGACTAAGAGACCCAGGCCATTTAAATCTGGATTATTTTTTATTGTAACAGGTATAGTAACAGGATCTTGCAAGTCTTGTCTGAGATGTTTTCTCCAGTTATTTTCTTGGCCGGGGCTCAAATCCCCATTTATCTGACCATTGCATTGGTCGCATCCCCCTTCCTGTACTAATAAAGGAGAATGTTTGTAGCTCAGGGTTGAAATGAAGGGTCCTTGGTGCTCTCTGAGCTGGGTGGTTTTCTTGCAGACGTTTCATGACCCAACTAGGGAACTTCATCAGTGCTAGAAGGGGGTGGGGGATTGCTCATTCTAGCACTGACGATGTGACCTAGTTTGGTTATGAAACGTCTGGAAGGAAGAGAGAACGCCTCACTGAAAACCCCTCCCTTCCTTCTGTCTGCCAAGGTCCTTCCCTGTTCCCTCTGCTGGGTGTGTCTAAGCCCTTTGATGTGTAAACCTGGGGTATATGAGGTTTTCCAACCTTTAATAGCTATAAAAATAGCACTTCG